AGCACCAAAATGGCAGTATCAAATCCACACATAACAATATTAACCCTAAATGTAAATGGACTAAATGCCCCAATCAAAAGACACAGACTGGCAAATTGGATAAAAAGCCAAAACCCATCGGTGTGCTTTATCCAGGAAACCCAGCTCACATGCAAGGATACACAAAGGCTCAAAATAAAGGGATGGAGGAAGACTTACCAAGCAAATGAAGAGTAAAAAAAAGCAGGAGTTGCAATTCTCATCTCTGATAAATTAGACTTTAAAGCAACAAAGATCATAAGAGACAAAGAGGGGCATTACATAATGGTAAAAGGATCAATGCAACAACAAGAGCTGACGATCCTAAACATATATGCACCCAATACAGGAGCACCCAGATACATAAGGCAAGTTCTTAATGACTTACAAAGAGACATAGACTCCCACACAATAATAGTGGGAGACTTTAACACCCCATTGTCAACATTAGACAGATCAACCAGACAGAAAATTAACAAGGATATCCAGGACTTGAACTCAGACCTGGACCAAGCAAACCTAATAGACATTTACAGAACTCTCCACCCCAAAGCCACAGAATATACATTCTTCTCAGCACCACATCACACCTACCCTAAAATTGACCACATAATTGGGAGTAAATCACTCCTCAGCAAATGCAAAAGAATGGAAATTGTAACAAACAGTCTCTCAGACCACAGTGCAATCAAGTTAGAACTCAGAATTCAAAAACTAACTCAGAACCGCATAGCTTCATGGAAACTGAACAACTTGCTCTTTAATGTTGACTGCATAAACAATGAAATGAAGGCAGAAATAAAGATGTTCTTCGAAACCAACGAGAATGAAGACACAACATACCAGAATCTCTGGGACACATTTAAAGCAGTCTCTAGAGGAAAATATATAGCAATAAGTGCCCACATGAGAAGCAAGAAGAGATCAAAAATTGACACCCTATTGTCAAAACTGAAAGAGTTAGAGGAGCAAGATCAAAACAACTCAAAGTCTAGCAGAAGACAAGAAATAGCTAAGATCAGAGCAGAACTGAAGGAGATAGAGACACAAAAAACCCTTCAAAAAATCAATAAATCCAGGAGCTGGTTTTTTGAAAAGATCAACAAAATAGACAGACCACTAGCCAGATTAATAAAAAAGAAAAGAGAGAATAACCAAATTGATGCAATAAAAAATGATAAAGGGGATATCACCACAGATTCCACAGAAATTCAAACCATCATCAGAGATTATTAAAAACAACTCTATGCACACAAACTAATAAACCTGGAAGAAATGGATAAATTCCTGGACACTTGCCTCCTGCCAAGCCTAAACCAGGAAGAAGCCGAAACCCTGAACAGACCCATAACGAGGTCTGAAGTTGAGGCAGCAATTAAGAGCTTACCACCCAAAAAAAGCCCAGGTCCAGATGGGTTCACAGCTGAATTCTACCAGACATACAAAGAGGAGCTGGTACCATTTCTTCTGAAACTATTCCAAACAATACAAAAAGAGGGAATTCTTCCCAAATCATTTTATGACACCAACATCATCCTGATTCCAAAACCCGGCAGAGACTCAACAAGAAAAGAAAACTTCAGGCCAATATCCATGATGAACATAGATGCAAAAATCTTCAATAAAATACTGACAAGCCGATTGCAACAGCACATCAAAAAGCTTATCCACCATGATCAAGTAGGCTTCATCCCGGGGATGCAAGGCTGGTTCAACATACGCAAGTCTATAAACGTGATTCACCACATAAACAGAACCAAAGACAAAAACCACATGATTACCTCAATTGATGCAGAGAAGGCCTTTGACAAAATTCAACAGCCCTTTATGCTAAAAACCCTCAATAAGCTAGGTATCGATGGAATGTATCTCAAAATAATAAAAGCTATTTATGACAAACCAACAGCCAATATCATACTGAATGGGCAAAAACTGGAAGCATTCCCCTTGAAATCTGGCACTAGACAAGGATGCTCTCTCTCACTGCTCCTATTTAATATAGTACTAGAAATTCTAGCCAGATTAATCAGGCAAGAAAAAGAAATAAAGGGTATTCAAATAGGAAAGGAGGAAGTCAAATTGTCTCTATTTGCAGACAACATGATTGTATATCTAGAAGACCCCATCGCCTCAGCCCAAAAGCACCTGAAACTGATAAGCAACTTCAGTAATGTCTCAGGATACAAAATCAATGTGCAAAAATCACATGCATTCCTATACACCAATAACAGACTTAAGGAGAGCCAAATCAAGAACAAACTTCCATTCACAATTGCCACAAAGAGAATAAAATACCTAGGAATACAACTAACAAGGAATGTAAAGGACCTCTTCAAGGAGAACTACAAGCCACTGCTCAACGAAATAAGAGAGGACACAAACAGATGGAGAAACATTCCATGTTCATGGTGAGGAAGAATCAATGTTGTGAAAATGGCCATACTGCCCAAAGTAATTTACAGATTCAGTGCTATCCCCATCAAGCTACCAATGACCTTCTTCACAGAACTGGAAAAAACCACCTTAAACTTCATATGGAACCAAAAGACAGCCCTCATAGCCAAGTCAATTCTAAGCAAAAAGAATAAAGTGGGAGGCATCACACTACCAGACTTCAAACTATACTACAAGCCTACAGTATTCAAAACAGCATGGTACTGGTACCAAAACAGTCATATAGACCAATGGAACAGAACAGAGGTCTCAGAGGCAACACAACATATCTACAATCATCTGATCTTTGGCAAACCCAACAAAAACAAGCAATGGGGAAAGGATTCCCTGTTCAATAAATGGTGTTGGGAAAGCTGGCTAGCCATGTGCAGAAAGCAGAAACTGGACCCCTTCCTGACACCTTACACTAAAATTAACTCCAGATGGATTAAAGACTTAAACATAAGACCTAACACCATAAAAACCCTAGAAGAAAATCTAGGCAAAACCATTCAGGACATAGGTGTAGGCAAGGACTTCATGACCAAAACACCAAAAGCATTGACAACAAAAGCCAAAATAGACAAATGGGACCTAATCAAACTCCACAGCTTCTGCATGGCAAAAGAAACAGTCATTAGAGTGAATCAGCAACCAACAGAATGGGAAAGAAGATTTTGCAGTTTACACATCTGACAAAGGGCTGATATCCAGAATTTACAATGAACTAAAACAGTTTTACAAGAAAAAAACAAGCCCATTCAAAAGTGGGCAAAGTATATGAACAGATACTTTACAAAAGAAGACATACATGAGGCCAACAAACATATGAAAAAATGCTCATCATCACCGGTCATCAGAGAAATGCAAATCAAATCTACATTGAGATACCATCTCACGCCAGTTAGAATGGTGATCATTAAAAAATCTGGAGACAACAGATGCTGGAGAGGATGTGGAGAAATAGGAACACTTTTACACTGTTGGTGGGAGTGTAAATTAGTTCAACCATTGTGGAAGACAGTGTAGCGATTCCTCAAGGACCTAGAAATAGAAATTCCATTTGACCCAGCAATCCCATTACTGGGTATATATCCAAAGGATTACAAATCGTTCTACTATAAGGACACGTGCACATGAATGTTCATTGCAGCACTGTTTACAATAGCAAAGACCTGGAACCAACCCAAATGCCCATCGACGATAGACTGGATGGGGAAAATGTGGCACATATACACCATGGAATATTATGCAGCCATCAAAAACGATGAGTTTGGGTCCTTTGTAGGGACATGGATGAACCAGGAAACCATTTTTCTCAGCAAACTGACAGAAGAACAGAAGATCAAACACTACATGTTTTCACTCATAGGCAGGTGTTGAACAATGAGAACACATGGACACAAGGAGGGGAGCACTACACACTGGGGTCAGTTGGGGGGAAATGGGGAGGGATGGTGGAGGATGGGGAGCTGGGGAGAGATAGCAAGGGGAGAAATGCCAGATGTAGGTGATGGGGAGGAAGGCAGCAAATCACACTGCCACGTGTGTGCCTATGCAACAATCTTGCATGTTCTTCACATGTACCCCAAAACCTAAAATGTAATAAAATAAATAAATGGGGAAAAAATTATCAAGCTGAATGGGGCTACTCTAATTTTAAGTTTCAGGGAATTCTTTGATAACCACAATTAGATAAAAAGTTAAAAATAAACTAAGAGCATAAACTAAACAAAAACCTAATTTATTCCTTGTAATCATATATATGATTTATACATATCATAAATCAGACTAAAAGTCATGTTAAATGGAAGAATTCCTAAGACACCGTAAAATTGCACTGATGTGTACAAAGAAAAAGCTAGACAAAACTTAAAGATGCAATAAATGCTGGCTGGGAACAGTGGCTCATGACTGTAATCCCAGCAATTTGGGAGGCCAAGATGGGAGGATCACTTGAGGTGAGAAATTTGACACCAGCCTGGCCAAGATGGTGAAGCCCTATCTCTACTAAAAATTAGACAGGTGTGGTGGCACATGCTTGTAATCCCAGTTACTTGGGAGGCTGAGGCAGGAGAATTGCTTGAACTTGGGAGGCAGAGTTTATAGTTAGCTGAGATCACATTACTGCACTCCAGCCTTTGAGTGATGGAGCAAAACTTGGTTTAAAAAAATGTAATTAGCCAGCAAGATAGGAAAAGAATGTCTAGAAAAAAAACCCTGAAATTAGTCCTCAGTATTGTTTCTTTAGGCTTTAAAATTTCCTCTCTCTTCTCCTAGAAATCCTTTACAATCTACAAATTATGTTACTATTTAACATAATCTGTAGTCAGATTATATGATATTAATATAGCATTTCTATTCACTGAATATATATTTATCAAGTGATGATAAGTAATGTTTATTAGGTACTTATGTTCCAGGCACCAATCTACTTACTTTAGATGTATTGTTTCATTAAATCCTCAGAGTGATATGAAGTAGATACAGTCTCTGAACTAGGCCACAAGATGACAAAGACACATGCAGCTCTCTCCTAAGCATGTCACAGTCTCCTTGGAAATACAGCCTGAGATCAGACTTGTCACCTATGTCCTCCAACCCAAGCCCCCCAAATATCCTGTGTTATAATAATATACCAGTGAAGAAAGGCCTCAGAAGCCCAGGAAAAAATAAGTTTATTCCCCAGTAAAGAGCTAATGTTGAACTGCTACAGAATTATTTGGGTAAAAAATGTCCAATGAGTATAAAAGATCATTAAAGTATTTTGCACCATTCTCTATAATGAACCTCCTAAGGTAGAAAGGTAAAAATTGATGTTAGGTCTAAAAATGAGCTCTGATTTTATCTGAAAAATGATTTGCCTCACTTGCCCTGATATGCTGAAAAGGCAGTTCTGTCTGAACATACAAAATAGAGTTTTCTCCCTTGGTTCTATAAGGAGGTGGTAAGGCCCCTGTTTTAACTACGGAGATAAGAGAACCAGAGATGAGAAATGACACAGCAGATTAAATGGGCTGGTGCATGGTCAGAATCATAGTTCCTGTCCCTCATTTCTATGTATTTCTTTTCTTTGTAAAAGTTAACTTTTCTTGCAGAGGTTTTAAAACACAAAATGATATTACAAAACCAACCCAGCTGGGTCAGAGGTTTGGTAGTTTTCCTTGCAACCTTAGTTAACTAGATCACCAGGCAATTTCTCCCCAAAGATCAAATAAATGTAATCTTCCAGTTTCCCACCTCTAAGTCCAAGGGTGGAGCAGAACATAAGCATTGGGCACAACTGCATACATCCTGCTGTGTCAGACCCAATGCAATCAGTATGGATTAGGATCATGTTAAATGGAAGAATTCTGTGAGATATAGATGAACTGAATTTGAATGCTACCTCGTCTTTCATAAAATACTTTTATCTCACATAATCAGTGCATTTCCACTTATATTAGACCCTCACTGCCAAATGGGTAATGACACCTGCTCCCTGAAATGTGCCCATTACCCTTTATCTGGAAAATCAGCTTCCATCACCACTTCCCTGATCCTCACCCCTCATAGGAATCAGAATCAAGGAGCCTCCCCAACCAAAGTCAAAAGGAAAGTTCCACTTTCCACGTCACCTCCACTTCTTCTCAGCAAGTGAGTGATTCCAGAACATGCACCTCTTTTACTCACTCTCGGGATGATCTGTAACTGAAACAGGAAAGGTTCCCTTGTTCCCCCCACAGGGCGTGCGGTGGGGGTGCGGCTCACTTCTTCAGACGGGCAGGCTGTGGGGCTCTGCCCCCATGGCAGTGTCTAGGGGTGAGTGTTTGTATCTGAAGCACCAGTGGGGGTGTGTTACAGGGTGCTCCTTTAGCTTGCGGTCTACCAGTGTCACCTGTTAGCCCACTCAATTAGACCCTCTACCTTGTCACAAGAACACAGGGCTTTCTCAATCCCAGGGTTTCTTGCCTTGGTGTAGGGAAGAATTGGATCACACATGGGCTTGGAGAATGAGTGCAAGGTTTTATTGAGTGGGAGAGGCTCTCAGCAGATCGGGAAGCCAGCAGGGAGATGGCTTTCCCCTGGAGGTGGGACACTGGTGGCCCAACCCTTCCCCAGCGGTGGGACTCTTCTTTGACCACTCTGGCCAAACTCCAAGTCATTCTGCTTCTGCCCGTGGCCTGCCTGCGTGCTGGTGCCTGACAGGGCATCCCTCTCAATGTCCAGCCACCTCTGTGTTGCTCCACTGATATGCTTCTCTCAACGTGGTGGGCCGGTGTGGTTGTGGGAAATGCAATATTTAGGCATGAAGGCAGGAGTGCTTGTATCTCACCGAGGTCCGTGGGGGTGGAGCCCTTCCAGGGACCTCACCCTCCTCTACCCAGCCCTTCCCTTCCCCTGTTTCATATCATTTAAAGGGACCACGCTCTTCCCTTCCCAGCACATCTGTATCATAATTACAGAACAGGTTGCTTTAGAAAAACAGAGGGGAAACTGTAGTCTAGTCAAAGCCCCACAGGTAGGGTGAGAACACCTGTAGGATATGCAGGAGCTGTCCCTGGAGGGTGGGTCTCCTGAGTCTATTTTGGCTGCCAATTGGGAAATTCTTAGTCCCAGAAGGAGGAAGTACAGGTGCTGAGGGAAGGCCCTCTCCCAGTTTGTTTATGAGCTAAGGCTGCCATCCGTGACTGACCCTGTCTTGCCAGGAAACAGTATCACATGTTATGTATATTGCCAGATTTTCATACATGAGCCAATTTGAAATGAAATACATCAACAAAGCTTCACCCCAATTTTGGACAAAGACAGGCACTCCTTCCTTGCTGTGGGGTGGGACTTCCCCCAGCAGCCTCTCAGGGAGGCCAGGAGGACAGAGGGGCTGGCCGGCCGTGCATTGGTGGTGTTGCCCATGGATGAATTGGGGCCCTGGCTTGAGATGGATGCAGCCCTGCTATGCATGGGCATGGTGGGTTTGCCACGTGGGCTCCGCTGCTGCTGGGTCATCCTCCTGGGTGGAAGAGGCTTGGAAAAGAGAAGCAGGGCTGGGATGAGGCTCAGAATCCTCAGCTATGGAGCGAGAGGCCACCTAAATCATCAGGAAATGCTCAGTGTCCCCATGTGTCCAACTCTACACCGTGATGCAACAAGAAAGTCTCTGACCTCTCCTGCCATGTTTAACTGCCACTAAACTGCCAGTATCTTCCTGACATCTCCCTGGACCTGCTCACACAGGCCGGAAGGGCGGCTCCTTACAGGGGGAGGTGTGGGCCAGGAACTGGTGCTCTAACTCTGCAATCCTGGGGCACTTCAGCCAGGCTGATGGGCCCCACTGATCACCAGGGTTCCTGCCGGTTCTAATTCATCACTTCCAGGATGTGTAGCTCACAGAATATTTCTAAGGCTATTTTCCTGGCTCTATTGAGACAGAATTGAACAATTCTAAAATATGTATATTTAAGCTATAGAATGTGAAGTTTTGGTATATGCAAACAATGTGAAATGAGGACCGCCATCAAGCTCATAAACATTCCCATCCCTTCACATGGTTGCATTTGTGTGTGTGGTGAGAATATTCCAGGTGCGCTTTCTCAGCAGATTCCGAGTGTGCAGTTCATCACTATCAATTACGGCCACCATGCTGTGTGCCAGGTCTCCAGAACGTACTCATCGCATAACTGAAACTTGGTGGCCTTCACCAGCTCTCCATGTTCTTCACTCTCTGACACCACCCTTCTCTGTTTCCATGACTTGGACTTTTTAGGCTAATGGCTCGGTGAAAATCTGTGACATATGCACAGATGACCTGGGCTATGTGAGTACTGGGGCCACCTTTTAACCGTGGGTGGTGTCTTGGAACTCCGCATGCCCTGGTACTTCCAGGCATATGCATGGGGCTGGATCACCCCTGCCCTGTGACCCAGGGGCCCGCTGCTGAGGGAGGAATGCCACCCAGTGGTCCTGAGCTTCCACATGGGGCCCCACCCCTCACTCTCTTGCATCTCTTTCACAGAAAAGCTCAGAAGCGTGGGTCATTCTCTGTGCTTCATTTTCTGAGGCACGGGGCTGGGAAGTGAGTCCTTGGGAAGGCTGTGGTGAGCCATGAATGTGTCAATGTGTGGAAAGCACACAGTGTTAGTGGGGTTCCCCTAGAGAACGTTGATGTGGCATCTGTGCTGTGTAGGTGGGACACATCTCCTGAGGAGACGCAATCCCACACACACTCAGTCACACCGCATGACACCCATGAATACCCCCCCAGAGTCCCACGCACACAAACCCACCCACCTAGAGGGACATGGCTCCTCCAGGGACTGTACAATGGCGCCAGGGTTCTTCACCTGCAAAAACTGCTCCTTCCATCACCCCGCCTTGTGCCCAGCGGGAAGCTGGAATCAGATCTCCAGACTGAAGGCAGCAGGAAAGCCCCGCCTTTCTTTTCATCTGGATTTTTCATCAGTGAGTCAGTGATTGCAGAATCCAGGCTGTTTTCCTGAGGCCACCTACAATTACAGGAGAGAGGAGACCACGAGGACCAGTCATGCTGCATGGAGTTTCTCAGGTCTTTTGCTCCCCCTGTGAACACAGAGTACCCAATGGAAAGCAGTGGTCAAAAGGCCCAGAAGCCAGCACAGACACCTTGGTGGAGGTGCAGGCTTTCCCTGGAGGACTTATCTCTGTAGTTCACTGTGGCTGCCAATCACAAAACTCTTAATTCAGAGAGGATTTGCTGCTGGCAAAACTTCCCCTTTCACACAGCTTAAAGCCTGGTACTGCCCCTCCCGACAGCCCTCTCCAACCAGTATCATCTGGAACAGTCGGCCAGGGTCAGTGCAGGCTGCTAGGCTGGCTGGGCACGGAGGCTCCCGCCTCTTACCCCAGCACCTTGGGAGGCTGAGGCAGGTGGATTGCTTTGAGATGTTGATCCCCACCTGCGGGGGCCTGTCCTGCAAACCCTGACTTTGTGACAGATGAATAAATACCCTCCACCCACAAAGTACCATGAACAAGTCAGCTGCTCTCAGAGGGCCATTGAGCTACCCAAGCCTTCAATCGCTGTCCCTCCTCACATTTATTCAGTTTAGACTTAAGACAGAAGTTCTAAGTCAACATGCTTGTGGATAATTAACACGTTAAAGGTTTGGTTCCAGGACCCAGAGCAAACACCATAAAGGGGTAATCTCCCTTCGACCTTCTCCCAGAGGGCCATTGGCTCAAAGGTTAGTTTTCAGACCACATGAGTAAACAAGGGAGTTAGAGACAAAGGAATGTGGGGTAAACAGACTTAACTGGTGAAGCTTCTATTATCCCTAATTTTTACCCGTGACCTCATGCTCTAAGGTAAGAACTGGCTGCCTTCAGCCTATTCCATTATTACAAGTTATGAAAATCTTTTTGCCTTCCAAAGGTTTGAGTCTATATCTCATAACTTTCCCTGATGTTTCCCTTAATATCTTGACAGCCACCCTGAGTGAATCCCAACATTGCTTGATGCCAGGAGATCCAGAACTGCCTAGGCAACATAGTGCAGCCCCCATCTCTACAAAACTATAAAGAAAATTTGCCTGGCATGGTGGTGTGTGCCTGTGGTCCCAGCTGAGATGGGAGGATCACTTGAGCTCAGAAGGTCAAGGCTGCAATGAACTTAGATCACACCACTGTGCTCCACCCTGGGCAACACAGTGAGACCCTGTCCCCAGAAAAGAAAAGGTAACCCAAATACCATGGGCTGGGTGGCATAAATGCAGTGTTTTCTCAGTTCTGGAGGCTGGGATGTTTCAGAGCAATGTGCTGGCACCATGGACCCACATGGCATGATCTTTAATGTCTATTGAAGAAGCTACATACTCTATGATTCAAGCTAGGTGACATTTTGTAAAAAGGCAAATTCTAGAGACAATTTAACAAATCATCTGTTTCCAGCTGGGTGTGGTGGCTCATGCCTGTAATCCCAGCACTCTGGGAGGCCGAGGTGGGCACATCACTCAAGGTCAGGAGTCAGAGACCAGCCTGGCCAACATATGGAAAGCCTGTCTCTACTAAAAGTGTGGTGGGGGGTACCTGTAATCCCAGCCACTTGAGAGGCTGAGGCACGAGAATCACTTGAACCTGGCAGGTGGAGGTTGCAGGGAGCCGAGAACGTGCCACTGCACTCCAGCCTGGGTAACAGAGTGAGATTGGTCTTAAAAAAATAAAAGCTGTTTCCAAGGAACAGACAGAAAGAATAACAGGTGAAGCACAGGGGGTTGTCAGCAGTAGAACAATGAGTGCATGCAAGGTGGAGCAAGATATTGCAAATTAAAAAAAAAAAATGAAAATGCAAAATAGAAAGTAATCCATAATGCTGACTAAGACATAAGTTAACAGTGTGTAAATATTGGTTCACTAACCATGACAAATGCACCATTCTGATACGTCAATTACGGGGGAAATGGAGGAAAAAGGTCTGTGCTAACTTCAGTATCTGTTCTATTTTTTGCTAATGTAAAAGTTATCCAAATAATAAAGTCCATTAATTAAAGAGTCATTTGGCAACACTATTTTAAGTGCAGATCTATCGCAGCAAATATTTAACAATCAGTTAATGTCTCATCAGGAGCTTCAGATGTGTTTCACTATTAAATGTGAACCAAAGCTGAGCTGTAAGTGTATCTTCCTGCGGTTGAAACACTACTGATTAAACAGTAAATTAAAATTTTCTCACATGAATAACACTATGGCTTAGCATCTTTATTGATTTATTTTAAATATGCAACTTTGGAACAAAGCTGCAATCGTTATTCTTGAATCAACATAAGGGCTGAGTATCTGCAGTGCTGTCAGCTCACCATCTGCAGGTGCACCTGTGCTTGGTCGGGGGCCCCTTCTTGACTTGCTGCTGGTCTGGGGCTGTATAGATTCTTGAAGGAGGAAATGCTTTTCTCCTCAAATCCATCAGCTAAGATCCTGGGAAATGCACTCACAGTAATGAGAGCTGCTGACATCTTGTTGGCAGAAGACCAGAGGAAACGGATCATAATTTATGCAGAACTCAAACCGTGGATCCCACTGCACTGACTCCCCGACAGCCTCTGAGCCAACGCTGGGCTTCTGGAAGATCTTGGGTTTTCACGTGTACTTGAAACAACTAAGAGAAAGGTTGTGTGGAAAATGCCTTTATGATGAGATGGTCCAGAAAGGCAGCTGAGCAGAGTGACTGAGCATGGGGGCTGGGGCCTGAGGGCCTGGGCTCAGTCCCACTTAGAGCCATGAGAACTGGGGACCGTCCTGCAACCCCTCAGCCTCCAGTTCTATGTACTGCTGTCTAAACACTTTAATAGGGTAGACTGGTTAGCATGATGAGGCCGAAGATCATTGAACAGAGTTAAAGCTTTAGAAAAAGTGGCTGATTCTTCAATGTTCCATGACTCCTCCATCATTAAATGCCTGGGAGAAGAAGCTATGCACTTGACAGTGGGTGACCAGAGAGGAGACATGGATGCTCTAGGGCAGGGGAGGGTGGAGGTTGGTTTTTCTTCATTTGCCTGTGTGAGAGGCTTTACAGCGCACAGACAGTACGTGCGATCATCTCCTGTGATGCCCACGTCAGCCCTGAGGGTGAGCAGAGCAGAAGTTGTGGCCTGCACTTCACAGGTGGAAGAAACTCTCCTAAAGGCATGTGACCTTCCAGTTACCACACTACTGCGTGATGCACTCCGGGCAGAAATGTACCTGAGGCCTCGGGGCCACAGATGCCTTCACACTCCAGACCTCCAGATCGTGCTCTAGACCCCCCAAAACATGAACTCCCCTGACTCTCAAGACATCCTGACCCAAGGTTTCTGTGGGAGGGCTGATGTCCTGGAATAGATGCCTGAGCCTGGAAAAGAACTTGGACACAAGACTCAGCCTCTGTCTCTTCCTTTCCATCCCATACCCCAAACAGGATGTGGTTTACCTCAAATGAAGCCCCTTGGAAAGACAAGGGTGATTCAAAACAGGGCAATCCTTTCATAGCAGCGTCAGAGTCAGCTGCCATGGGCTACACGTTTCCAATGATCGGTTGGTCACAAGGGACCCCTGCAGCCAACTGACCCCTAACTGTATTAGAAAGCAACATTCTAAACTGTCACATGACTGCTTCGCTTCCCTCCACTTGACCAACTGTGGGTGAGCAGCTAATGCCCTTATCTGACAAGGGGCACCTGGGCTGGAGTGTCAGTGGCTTGATGAACTCAGTTTATAAAGCTTCCCGCCTGACTTACTATTGATCTGAGCCACTGTCTGTGCAGCTGGACTAAGGCCTGGCTGAGGATGGCCAGTGGCTGCACCAGCACAGGTGGACCTTTCTTCCTGTTCATTTCTTCCAAACCGAAGGTCAGCATCTTCAGACTCCTATTGTATCCTGAGCCCTGCAGGGGCAATGCATAGAGTCCCTTCTCCTCTTAGAGGGAACCCTCCACAGCTACAGCCTGGAGACCCCACCCCAGGACTGTCCCTGAGGACCACCCAGGTCCTATTTCTAACCAAATGTCCATTTCTCACCACTCTCCCCAGCAGCACCCTAAACAGTAGGGATCCTGTCCTCATCCCACCACATTTGTATCCATATCAAAACGCCAGTCTTTCCTTTACAAAACTAAAATGTGGCACACATACACCATGGAATACTGTGCAGCCATAAAAAAGAGTGAGCTCATGACCTTTGCAGGGACATAGATAAAGCTGGAAGCCATCATCCTCAGCAAACGAACACAGGAACAGAAAACCAAACACCACATGTTCTCACTCATAAGTGGGAGCTGAACAATAAGAACACATGGACAAAGGGAGGGGAACATCACACACTGGGGTGTGTCAGGGGTAGGGGGCAAGGGGAGGGAGAGCATTAGGATGAATACTTAACACATGTGGGGCTTAAAACGTAGATGACGGGTTGATAGATGCAGCAAGCCACCATGGCACATGTATACGTGTGTAACTAACCTGCACATTCTGCACATGTATCCCAAACTTAGTAAAATAGAAATAAAAAAAAAAACCTCGGAATCAAGATTACTAATGTACTGTGTGATATTTTGGCAACAGTGTTCAAAAGAGTTTGGATTTTAATTCACCTTTCTTGTCATGTCTTTTACAGGATTTGCTATCATGATTCTCCCAGTTAAAAGAGAGCAGTGTGAGCATGTTCTTGTACATACAAAATTGAATTTACTTCTATTTAAAATATAGATAGACTCACAGGGAGACAATAAGGATGGACACTTGCATGATGGAAAGATAATATTTGCATTAGTTTTTAGGTGATGGTTGTTTTACCCGTGGCACAGTGCACACATATGTGCAGACTGCTGCCTTCTTACAAACACTGTCTTACCACCATCCAGATGTAAATCCCCCAGGCACCCCTCTGCAGCTAATTTCCAGGCAGTAACCCCAGGACATACCTACCCTGATCATGATCAACACATTTTAAATTTATTTTTAAACATCATATAAATGCAAACCTACAGTATGTACTCTTTTGTTTCTGGTTGAAAATTATATGTGAATATGTGAATTTCACCCATGTTCCATGTGATGAAGGCTTTGTCATTTTGTACTGCTGAATCAGTATATAACATTGTAGAAAGTTGGCACAACTAATTTACACCTCCGTGTTTTTTACATTCACTCTGCTGTTTCTCATGATGGTTGATTGAAACAAGGCTTCTGTAAAGTCCCCCAGGTGGACACCAACATCTTTGACTCATACATGTCTCTTGGACATAGATGGCAGGAGTGGGACTGTAGGGTCACAGGTGCTGATGACTGTAGTACACACTAGAAAGCCATTTATCAACATGGTTGAGACTATGTATGTTCCCAGAGTAACCAGACAGTTCAAGTTCCTCCACATCCTCACCACCCTTTGCATTTTTGTCTCTGATAACGTGCCTATCCTGGTGGGTGTAAGAGTGAGAAACTAGTTTCAGTGTGGACTCTGCTAATGACTTGGGATTGAGTGCCCTTTCATGTGCTGAACTTGCCGAGGTTTCTAGGATTTTGATAAGTCACATAACCTTCTGAGTTCCAGAATGACTATTCAAGGTGCTTTGTTAGAAGAAGGATCCAACAGGCAAAATTGCAGAGGGATATGGAACAATGGAAAGATATTAGCGAGGACAATCTAGATTTCAGAAAAAAAAATAGAAAAGACATAAAATGGACATGTCACTAAAAATGGACAAATATCACAACAAAGCAATTTAGAGAAGGCAAAATGTGGGTGAATAAAAGTCACATTAACACATGTTCTGATCCACCTGAAGTGAAAGAAACCCCTGTGGAGCCCAGTGCATTTGTGTGAGAGGAACTGCCTGGAAGGGCAGAGAGCAAAGCAAAAGGGCTTGGGGGGAGCAGGATGGGAGTGGCAGGAGCTGCCAGAGCCTCCTCAGCGGGAAGCCAGGGAGAGGGTTTGGAGATCAGCCAGCCAGGGGCAGGGGCCAGCAAAACCTATAGGTTCCTGTGGATGCCCTAGGATTGTGCAGTTACTTCTGAGTGAGGCATGAAACCAGTGAGTGTTGAGTAGACAACTAATGTTGCAATTTAAAAAAATAAAAATAAATTTCCAGCCAGGCTGTGGAGCTTCAGAATCTCTTACAACTGGGATATTAAGGAGGTCAGCCATCCGGCAGGATGTCCCTCAGCACATAGTAACATTAAGTGTGCACCCTCCATGCAGCTAGTCCACTGTGGTTCAGAGATGGAGGGAAACATGCAGGAGGAAGTCCTCACTGGTCACATGGTATTGGCAGCAACCTGGATGCTCAGCACAGGGTTTAAACTAAAATGTACTTTACACAATGCTGACCCATTGGAAGTAATGGAAATTGTTCATATGCACACGTGGAAGAAATTAAATGTTTGAATTTAAATCTTAGAAAAAATAACAAATAAATCAGATGAGGCCTAAAAAGGAAAAATTATTTGCTTAAGAAATGGAAACACACTATCAATTCTTTAAGTGTCTGTAGAGATGATTTGGAAGTTGGAGTGGAACCACATGATTTACACTTGAGTTGGTGACTCAGAGATGGAGGAAAACATGATTTGAAATGGTGATAAAGAAAAATATGAAAGAGAGGCCTTTAGGTGGCTGATGATGAGTGTTAATAGTGTGAGTAAACTCTGCGCTTCTGGGTCCCAGGAAGCACCGACAGAAAGTGCCACACATGCTCTGCTGGCATGGCTGGCAGGAACAAGTGACCTCCCTTCAACCCACACCCTTTACTTAGGATTCCCAGCTGCCCTGTCCCCTCTCTGACATCGTGAGCCACTTCAGAAAGGAGGATCAGGACAGCCAACGCTCTCCACCTGAGATGCCCTGGTGTGTCAGAGGCAGGAAGGATTTGGGCTCTGAGGACAGTGTGGGACAGTGAGGGACACTCCTGAGATGGCCTCTCCCAGCTGGAAAATGACTCAGAGCCTCCAGGGGAGTTTGGTCATCAGGGAGCCCACTGGGTAGGTTTGGGTGGCAACACTGACCTGCCAGGACACACCTTCACCCCACCGGGTCAGCTGTGAGAACTCAGGACAGAGGGGCCCAGGAAGAGGTGGGTCGCAGCTCTTATTTCAATGCAGTGGCTCTGCTCCCGTGAAGGTTTTGGAAGCCTGGCTTCGGAAAGCTCAGGCTCCACAGCAGAGTGTCAGGAAGTGGAGTCGCATCTGAACCATACCCAGGGCTCCTGTCTTTACCCTCCTCACTCACAGTACAGAGGAGGGGGCACCTCACCTGGGGAGAGAGGATCCACAGTTGGCTCTGCTCCACACACCCACCCTCCTCACTATGCTGATTCTGACCCACAGTCCCTCCCCTCTGTCTAATTTAGGATCTGTGGCCCAGGCAGGGCTGGCTCAGCCACCTTCAGCATCCGAAGGTTCTGAACAAATGCCACAGTTGTCTGCACTGAGCACAGCAGCAACACTGGCAATGTTGACAGCTGGGGCCAACATGACACATTCTTCACATATACACGCCGTGAGCACTTTCTGTCACTCTGCGCTTTGTAAGTCATTTTCTTAAAGGGGACTTTTGCTATGCCAGATAGTTTCAATATTTATGTAGGCCAATGCTTTTTTCTCAAGATCAGTATTTTTGTGTCCTAAAACAACTATATATATATGTGTGTGTGTATATGTATATATATATATACACAACTATATATAACTATACATATGTGTATGTGCATGTATATACAACTATGTGTATATATACACACATGTATATAGTTGTATATATACACATACACACATATATGTTCATATAAAAACATTTGAATTATATCTCAAAGTTGTTAAAAAAAAGAATGGCTTGATATTCTAGTGCTAAGGGATGGCTTTATTTAAAACATAGTTTCCAGTAGATTCCTTTAAAAATATTATAGCAGGGATTTCCAGATCACCCCCACTCCTACCTTTTTATAATTTTTAACTATTTTCCGGAGTCTTGAATTCAATGAAGTGAAGGTGGAAGAAAGCGTTTAGAAAGCCAGTCGGTACAGGAGAGCTGGTGTCAGGTGAGGCAGAATGGGAAGAGATGCTCCTTTAAATGGAATCCTCTGGAACCTGCAGAAAGCAAGGGTGAGGTGGGCAATCTTCCTGCAGAGCTACCAGAGAAAGGCTTTAGACCCAACACTCCTGTTCACAAACACAGACAGAGGCATCTGTTTTCTTAAAACAACTCTTTCTATATGGAAATAGAAATAATGAAAAGGGGAAAATTCTGGTTTAATTATTTTATTCAATTATTAATGAATAACTTATGAAACAAATAAAAACTGTAAAAGTGGAACTCAAATTATTGTTTAATAATCTGGATCTGTGGCTCAGATACAGATTGAACAAAACAGCCATAGATGATGCCCCAGCTGTGGGAGGTGCCCCAGCTGTGGTTGATGCCTCAGCCATGGAAGATGCCCCCAGCCGTGGAAGATGTCCCCAGCCGTGGAAGATGCCCCAGCCATGGAAGATGCACCCAGCAGTGGATGATGTCCCAGACATGGAAGATGCACCTGGCCGTGGAAGATGCACCCGGCCGTGGATGATGCCTCTGGCCGTGGATAATGCCCCTGGCCGTGGTTGATGTCCCATTGGTGTATGATGCCCCAGCAGTTGATGATGTCCCATCAGTGTATGATGCCCCAGCAGTTGATGATGTCCCAGCAGTTGATGATGTCCCATCAGTGTATGATGCCCCATCGGTGGACGATGTCCCATCGGTGGACGATGTCCCATCGGTGGATGATGCCCCATCGGTGGATGATGCCCCAGCAGTTGATGATGTCCCAGCAGTTGATGATGTCCCATTGGTGGATGATGCCCCAGCAGTTGATGATGCACCAGCAGTTGATGATGTCCCAGCAGTTGATGATGTCACATAGGTGGATGATGCCCCAGCAGTTGATGATGTCCCATTGGTGGATGATGCCCCAGCCGTTGATGATGTCCCATTGGTGGATGATGCCCCAGCAGTTGATGATGTCCCATTGGTAGATGATGTCCCAGCAGATGATGATGTCCCATTGGTGGATGATGCCCCAGCAGTTGATGATGTCC